TATTTATTATTAATTATCTTTACCATGCCAAAGACAGGGAGTGGCAGGACAATAGGATCAAAGAAAAAAAGAGGAAATCGGCAGTAAGACATATGAACAAAAATCTCTGTGACATGAATAAGTTTAAAGGAAAATGTTGTGCCTTGAGATGCATATGCAGACATCTCCATAAACCTTTTAGTAGCATTGTTTCAGTCTATCACATGGGGAGAAACCTTAGACACACCTAGCTTTCCTAGGCAGAGGTCCCTGCGACCTTTGGCCGTGTACGTGTCCTTGGGTAGTTGAAATAAAGAGAATGGTGATATTTTAACCAGCAAGCTGCCTTCAGACATTTGTTTAACAAAGACACATCCTGCACAGCCCCAAAAAATCCATTCAACCAATTCACGCAGCACATGTCTCTTGCAAGGACAAGGTTGGGGTAGAATCACAGATGAACAGTATCTCAAATACAGAACAAAGAACAAAATGGAGTCTCTTATGTCTACTTCTTTCTATATAGACACAGTAACAGGCTGATCTCTCTTTCTTTTCCCCAATAGCAAGCTGTACCTTGGCTCTTTTTAGTCACAGCTGGATCTGGAGCTATATAGACACAGTAACAGGCTGATCTCTCTTTCTTTTCCCCACAATAACCCAAGCTGTACCTTGGCTCTTTTTAGTCACAGCTGGATCTGGAGCAGCTGGGATGCAGGGCACCAAGTCCCAAGGCTTCATAGAGGAGTGGGGCCCTGGGCCTCAACCATGGAACCATTGTTTCCTCCTATGGCTCCTGGCCTGTGATGGAAGGACCTGTCTCAGATCTTTGACATGACCTGAAGACATTTTCCCTATGGTCTTGGTTATTAACATTCAGCTTCTCTTTACTTTTGCAATTTTCTGCAGCGGCTTGAATTTCTTTCCAAAAAATGGGGTTTTATGTTCTACTTCATGGTCAGGTTGCAAATTTTCCAAACTTTTATGTTCTGCTTCCATTTTAAACATAAGTTTCTCATCTCCATCTGAGACAACCTCAGTCTGGACTTTATCATCCATATCACTGTTAGTATTTTGGTCAAAAGCATTCAACAAGTCTCTAGGAAGTTCCAAACTTTCCCACATTTTTCTATCTTTTTCTGAGCCCTCTAAACTGTTTCAACCTCCGCCTATTACCCAGATCCAAAGTCACTTCCACATTTTCAATTATCTTTGTAGCAGTGCCCCAAACTCCCAGTATTAATTTTCTGTATTAGTCTGTTTTCACACTACTATGAAGATACTACCAGAGAATGGATAATTTATACAGAAAGGAGGTTTAACTTACAATTCTGCATGGTTTGAGAGGTCTAGGAAACCTACAATTATGGTAGAAGGTGAAGGATAAGCAAGTACCTTCTTGACTAGGCAGCAGGAGAGAGGGAGAGTAGAAAAAACCACTTATAAAACCATCAGATCTTTTGAGAACTCAATTACTATCAAAAACAGCATGGAGGAAAACTACCCCCATGTTCCAATCACCTCCCATCAAGTCCCTCCCTTGACACGTGGGGATTACAATTTGAGATAAGATTTGGGTGGGATAAGATTTTACACTGACGAATTCAATACAAGGCAGAGAATATAAACTTTTTTTTTGATAATCTCTGAGGTTTCCTGTTTCTTGTTAATTATCCACCTTATTAAAATAATCTTTTTTGTTTCAACATTGTTCAATTCTGAAATGCATACAAACTCACACGCAAACACACTCACTTGCTACATAACTTTCTTATGTGTAAGGTATACCTTTTTAAAAAAATTTTTAAACAGTGTCTTGCTCTGTCATCCAGGCTGGAATGCAGTGGTGGCATCTTGGCTCACTGCAACCTCTGTATCCCAGGATCAAGCGATTCTCCTGCCTCAGCCTCCCTAGTAGCTGGGAATACAGGCACGCACCACCACACCCAGCTAATTTTTTGTATTTTTAGTAGAGATGGGGTTTCGAGATTACAGGTCTGAGCCACTGTGCCTGGCTATCTTTAGAGTAATATATTTGCATATGTAACTCTATGTAAATCAAAACCAAAAGTCTGTTTTTTGTCAGCAGAGAGGCCACATGTACAAAAAATATATAAAACTTTTAAAACTATTTAATCGAGACTCAGAAATGTATGGATATTAATTATACTCATGTAACTTTTATGATCATAAAATGACCCTGTGGTTAATAATTCAATTGCACATATTGAAATAACTAAAGCTATATAATGGGATTGTTTGTAATACAAAGGATAAATACATGCTCAAGGTGACGAATACCTCATTTACTCTGCTGTGATAATTAAATAATGTATGCCCATGTTTAAATACCTCATATATGCCATAAGTGTATATGCCACACAATCTACCCACAAACATTTTTAAAAATCAAAATAAGGTAAATAAGAATACAAACTTGACCTATGAGAACAAAATTATTCAACTTATTTACAGTTTAAAACCACTGGAGGGCCAGGTGTGGTGGCTCATGCCTATAATCCCAGCACTTTAGGGCACCGAGGCGGATCACCTGAGGTCAGGAGTTCAAGACCAGCTTGGCCAACATGGTGAAACCCTGTCTCTACTAAAAATACAAAAATTAGCCAGGTATGGTGGCGCATGCCTGTCGTCCCAGCTACTTGGCAGGCTGAGGCAGGAGAATCGCTTGGACTCAGGAGGTGGAGGTTGCACTGAGCGAAGATCATGCCACTGCATTCCAGCCTGGGCAACAGAGCAAGATTCCGTCTCAAACCAAACAAACAAAAAACACTGGCAAAAGAGAGATTACTAGAGATGTCATTCCCCTACATTACCAAATAGTATATTGCCACCATTGTTCACTTAGAACCTTAAGTAAAATGGGACACATTAATGTTGATGGTAAATTTCCACTTCATTCAAACCACAATAGTTTTTAACACATTAAAAACAACTTTGTTTAATTAAAAATTAAGATCACATATAATCTTCAAACATTTTTTAAATTTATTGCATTTTATTACATAAATGTACATTGAAAAAAACAATCTCTCATATCTCTGATGCAACAATTGATGAAATACTTAAACAATTAAACAATGGGAAGAATCAACATGAAATAATCTGAGACTTGAGTTACATTATTATTTGTTTTTCAGAAAATCTAATTTTGTTTTACAGAAAAAGCATAACCTCAAAGATAATTATAAATCTCCAAAAAAAACCTACTTTTTAAAAAATATATTTGGATCTCTTTTACACTCAACACTCTGATTTAGTGTAATGTCTGAAGTTTCAGTGCCTTTATTCTTTTTACTGTGAATCCTCAAATGTTTATGTACACAATTTTTGATTAAACATATTTTCCCCATTTACTAGACCTGCAAAAAGAATTTAGTATAAACTGGTGTCTGCTTCACCAGTTTAACTGCTTCAGATTTTTCCTTTAATATAAAACGTGTACAATAAAATCTATAATGCAAGTAAAGGTACAACAATCCTCTTTATGTTTGTATGTCTTCAGAATAGTTTTTACTTTAAAGGCCTACATTTTCTGAAGTCTTTTTACAGTAATCACATTTATAATGCTTTGTTTTTTTGAGATGGAGTCTTGCTCTGTCACCCAGGCTGCAGTGTAGCAGCTCTATTTAGGTTCACTGCAACCTCCGCCTCCCAGGTTCAAGCAGTTCTCCTGCCTCAGCCTCTCGAGTAGCTGGGATTACAGGTGCATGCCACCATGCCTGGCTAATTTTTGTATTTTTAGTAAAAATGGGGCTTCACCATATTGGTCAGTCTGGTCTTGAACTCCTGACCTCATGATCCACCAATCTTGGCCTCCCAAAGTGCTGGAATTACAAGCATGAGCCAACACACCTGACCTATAATGCTTTTATTAAGTATAAACTTTGATACTAAGATGTGAGCTGATATTAATGACTTTTCACATTCTTTGTACAATTTTTCTCTAGTAGAAATGCTTTCCTGTGTCATATGAGAATTTGTTAAAAGTTTTGCCACATTCTTCATATTTGTAGGAGTTGTCTTCAGTATAAATTATCTTACTTACCATAACATATGACTACCATTTAAAGGCCTTGCCACATTGAACACATTTCTGGAGTTTCTCACCAGCATGATTTCTCTTTTTTAGAAAAGTTTGAGGTGTGGTTAAATGCTCTGTCACATTTTTTATGTATGTGGAGTTTCTCTCCAGTATAAAATTTTTAAATTAATTAGGATGGAGAACCAGTTAAAGGCTTTGCCACATTTTCTACAATTGCAGTGGTTCTCTCCAGTATCAATTACCTTACATTTGTACAGGTTTGAGGACTTTTTAATGACATTGCCATATTTCTTATTGTAGGGTTTCTCTTCAGTATTATCTTATGTATAATAAGGGTTCAAGACTAGTTAAAAGCTTTACCACATTCTTTGCTTTTGTAGGGTTTCTCTCTAGAATGAATTATAAGATATTGTGTAAGGCCTGAGTGTGCTTAAAGGTTTTGTCACATTTTTTACCTTTCTAGGGTCTAATATAAATTCTCTTAGGCTTTGGGAGGCTGAGGCAGATGGATCACCTGAGGTCAGGAGTTCGAGACCAGGTTGGCCAACATGGCAAAACCCCATCTCTACTAAAAATAAAAAATCAGCCAGTGTGGTGGTGGGCGCCTGTAATCCCAGCTACTCAGGAGGCTGAGGCAGGAGAATCACTTGAATCCGGAAGGAAGAGTTTGCAGTGAGGTGAGATCATGCCACTGCACTCCAGCCTGGGTGACAAAGTGAGACTCCATCTCAAAAAAATTCTTTTTTCAATAAATTCTCTTAAGTTTATTAAGTTTAAGCATTAGTCAAAGGGTTTGTTACTTACATTTATAAGATTTTCATCCAATATGAATTCTTATATGTTCAATTAAGGTTTGGAACTGGTTAAAGGCCTGACCACATTCTCTACACTTGTAGTGTTTTTTGTTCAGTATAAATTATTTTATGTATTATAAGGCCTGAGGGTGGACTTTGCCACATTATTCACATTTGTGGGGTTTCTCTCCAGTATGACGTATCCTATGTATAGCAAAACTTGAATGCCATGTAAAAGCTCTGCCACATTCTTCACATTTGTACGGTTTCTCTCCAGTGTGAATTCTCTTATGCTTCTTAAGGGTTGAGGAGCAGTTAAAGGCTTTGCCACATTCTTCACATGTGTAGGGTCTCTCTCCAGTATGAATTCTCTTGTGGTCAGTGAGGGCTCTGAGAAAAGCTAAAGGCTTTGCCACATTCTTCACATTTTGTAGGGTCTCTCAGTATGAATTCTCTTGTGGTTAGTAAGGGCTGAGGAGCACCTAAAGGCACGCCACATTCTTCACATGTGTAGGAGTTTCTCTCGGTATGAATTCTCTTATGTTGCACAAGGCTGGAGGAGCAGTTAAAGGCTTTGCCGCATTCTTCACCTTATGTAGGGTCTCTCTCTAGTATGAATTCTCTTGTGGTCAGTGAGGGCTGAGGAAAAGGTAAAGGCTTTGCCACATTCTTCACATTTGTAGAGTCTCTCCAGTATGAATTCTCTTGTGGTCAGTGAGGGCTGAGGAGCGCCTAAAGGCTTTGCCACATTCTTCACATGTGTAGGTTTCCCTCCCAGTGTAAGATTTAGTTATGTTGTGAGGGCTGAGGACCGGCTAAAGCAGCCACATTCTTCACATGTGTAGGTTCTCTCGGTATGAATTCTCTTATGCTTCTTAGGGTTGAGGAGCAGTTAAAGGCTTTGCCGCATTCTTCACATATGTAGGGTCTCTCTCTAGTATGAATTCTCTTGTGGTCAGTGAGGGCTGAGGAAAAGCTAAAGGCTTTGCCACATTCTTCACCATTCTTCACATTTGTAGGGTCTCTCTCCAGTATGAATTCTCTTGTGTTTAGTAAGTGCTGAGGAGCGCCTAAAGGCTTTGCCACATTCTTCACATGTGTAGGGTTTCCCTCCAGTATGAATTTGGTTATGTTTCTTAAGGGCTGAGGACCGGCTAAAGGCTTGGTCACATCCTTCACATGTGAAGAGTTTCTCTCCAGTATGAATTCTCTTATGTCTACTAAGGTTTGAGGACCAGCGAAAGGCTTTGCCACATTCCTCACATCTGTAGGGTTTCTCTCCAATATGAATTCTTTTATGTTTAGTACAGTATGAGGAGCAGTTAAAGGCTTTGCCACATTCTTCACATTTGTAAGACTTCTCCCTAGTATGAATTACTTGATGTTGATTTAGGTGTGAAAGCATGCAAAATGATTTGCCATATTTTTTACATTTGAAATGATTCTTTCCAGTATGTCTTGTCTTATGCTTACTGGAATTTGAAAATTTACCAAAGACTTTGACATATTTATGAGTCTGAAATATTTTGTTTTGGGTAGTTGACAAACATTGGTTAACATCATTATAACCTCCTTTGTGCACCTCACACTCACCCACACTTTTACAGCATTTTTTAAATTGTAAATTCTCATTTCCACATTTTTCATATGTTCTTGGTATTACTTTTTGGAGTGAATCTTTTATGCCCTGCTGTGGCTGAAGGTCTTGGGTGCAATGAGAACACATAACTGAAAGACATAAAAATCACAAATTACTCTACTTACTGGACTCAGATAAATATACTTTACAAATCAAATATATAAAATTATATATGATACATTAGCAAAATGGCATATCAAAACATCACAGGCCATAATTCCTTCATAGATGTATAAATGTAACAGAATCATAGTAATCAAAATACCTTTGTTAGAAATTTAGAAAGTGTGTGCACCATGTGAGCACAATGTCAAGAGCTTTATAGATAGAAAAGTCTGCTACATTTACTCAACACAGCCCTTCCTCATCCCCAACAGAAGAACATGGTGTCTTTAATGACAGATTTAATTCTTTTGAGATAAAAAGTGAATGTTACAACAGCAGAAAGACTGCAGTACCATGGACAGACAATAGGTGTAGAAAGTAGTTACTGACCAGTAAGAGGAAATATGAAGAAGTCTTTCAACTGAAAAATAAGTACAAAATTGCAGACAAGACACATCCTAAGAACATGGTCGTGAGACTCCCAGAATCTTTGCCCAAGACAATTGGTTTCAGGCTATGCCAGGAAAGAGCTGTATTATAAAGACCGTGAAAGGTAGTTTTATGTTAGTGTCTAAATCTCAACCAAAGATTACAATGTATACAAAATATTTGGGCAACATGGTCTAATCAAAAAACTCAAAAATTGTGAAAAAGCAACTATAAAAATAAAGATATATGTATTAATTTTTAAAATTTAAGATAATCCATATTATGCTCAATGAGAAAAATGGAAAACCAGACACCAAAATAAAATCAGAAAAATAAGAATATCAACAAAAAGCTTGGAATAATAAAAATAAACAATTGTGGAGGTAAAAAAGAATAACTGAAAAAATTTAAAAGTAGGAAAAAAAGTAATATAAAAAAATGAAGAAGCTAAACAAACAAACTAGGATATACACAAAAAGATCCATAACACATATTTAAGCAAAGTTTGAAAAGTCACAAACCATAAGATAATCTTGGGAGCTGCAAGATAAAAGTGAGGTATTATTTATAAGCATAGTCCTCCGAGACAACCAATGAATTTGTCAACAGAAACCTTGCGGGTCAGAAAAGAACTGTGTAAAATGGTCAAAGTGCTGAAAAAAATCTTCATGGTGAGAATAATATAACCAGCAAAAATGTAAATGTACTACAAAATAAACAATGAAGATATTCCAGAATAAACAAATGCTGGAGAAGCATATAAACACTACATGTGCCCTAAATAAAATGCTGAAAAGAGGTCTTCCCACTTAAAATAATATGATGAAAAAAATATATAATCATATGAAAATACGTAACTTTCTGAAAAACATATGCATATACAAAAAAGTAAAATTCTGTGTCATTATTGTGATCATGCAGAAAACACTGTTAGTATTTAAAATTTGAAATATATGAGCATAAAAATAATCATAAAATATACAAAGATATAATTTGCAACATCAGTAAGAAGTATAGGGTAGATATAATGAGGACAAATTGTTCTATGCAACTGAAGTCATTTTTTTTTTACCAGATTAAAGTACACTGTTATAACATTAAGAGGTTTTATAAAATCTCCAATGTAGCACAAAGAAAAAATATTTATAGACACACAAAAGAAAATGAGTCAATTACTAGCATGAGACAGATTGATATTATATAATGGTAAAATGAGTCAATTTGCTAGGAATCTATAACTATTATGTCTATCTATATATATGTGCATATATAACATCAGGGCTTCAAAATATGTAAAGCAAATATTGACAGAAATGAAGCAAGAAATAAAATAGCAACAAAAATTATAAACATTAATACCTCAATTTCAACAAAGAAAAAATTAAAATAATTAAAAAAACAGAAAACCTGAAGAACATTATATTGTGTATGAATTCATTTTGCATTGCTATAGAAAATAACCTCAGACTGGATAACTGATACAGAAAAAGATTTCTTTGGTTCACAATTCAGTAGACTGTACAAGGAGTATATACCAGCATCTGCTTCTGGTGAGGATATGAGGAAGCTTAAAATTATAGCGGAAGGCAAAAAAGAACCAAACATGTCACATGGTGAAAGACGATGCACGTGTGAGGTGGAGGAGCCAGGTTCCTTTAAACAACCAGCTCTCATGTGGATTAATAGAGTGGGAACTCTATGACTACCAAGGGGATTGTACCAAGTCATTCATGAGGGATTTGTCTCCATGATGCAAACAGCTCTCATTAGGCCCCACATCCAACAATGGAGATTATATTTCTACATGAGATTTGGAGGGCATCTACACCATATCACAAACCAAATAGGCTAAACAGACATGTACACAGAACTCTCCAATGAAAAGCAATTGGATACACAATATTCTTATTTGCACCTGGTGTATTCTGTCAGAACACATAAGACCTAGTAAATTTCAAAAGATCAGCCGGGGGCAGTGGCTCCAGGTGTAATCCCAGCACGTTGGGAGGCCAAGGTGGAAGGATCACTTGGGGCAAGAAGTTTGATACCAGCCCTGGGAAACAGTGAGACTCTGTTTCTACAAATAATTAAAAATTAGCTGGGCATAGTGGGGTATGTCTGTAGTGCCAGCCACTCAGGAGGCCAAGGTAAAAGGATTACTTGAGTCCAGGTGGTTCAGGCTACGATGAGCCAAGATTGTGCTACTGCACCACAGTCTGGGCAACAGAGTGAGAAACCCTGTGTCAAAAAAAACTTTAAGAAGAGCAAAATCATACAGTGTATGTTTTCTAGCCAAAACTGAAAAAAACTAAAAAGAAAAAAGTAATACTGGCAAATCAAAAATGTATGGAAATAAACACACTCTTCACTGTATTCTTGCACAGGGTCAAATAATTTAATTTAATATTTTTGCTCAAGGGTCAACATATTTAAGTGACAACTTAATTTGTTAAGATGTCAATATGACCCAAAGTGGTGAACTAATTTAATATAATCTGTATCAAAATTCCAAAAATATATTTATTCCTGGAATATTGTTTAAAATTTTTAAATTTTATTATGAACTATATCTAGAGAAACACACATGAAAAACACAGAGGCATTATACTTCATAATTTCAAATCATAATAAAAAGCTGCAATAACAATAACTATGTGGTACTCACACAAAGACAGATAAAGACATGATAGAATAAAACAGGGAGCCCAGCAATTGAACTCTTCTGTGTATGACCAAATAATCTGCCTCAAGGTTGTCATGAGCAGACAATGGAGAAAATATAATCCCTTCAACAGATAATGTTGAAAACTGGATATCTACATTGAAACAATGAAGTTGGATGCTTTAATTGCATCATATACAAAAAATATTTTAAACAAAATACTTTAACTAAAAAAAAAATACAATGGAAAGACATGACATTGGTCTTGGCACCATTTTCTTAGATATGCCATTAAATGCTTGAGCAACAAAGAGAAGAACAGAAAAATTTAACTGGGCTAAACTTCAAAATTTCTGCAATCAAATAAAACATTTAATAGAGTGACAGTATCACCCAAGAAATGGGTGACAATATTTGAAAATCACATGTGGTAAGACTTAATATTGAGAATATATAAACAACTCCTAGAACGAGACAAGAAAAATTAATTACTTGATTTAGAAATGGGTGACGTGGCTCATGCATGTAATCCCAGAACTTTGGGAGGCTGAAGTGGGCAGAGCACCTGAGGTCAGGAATTTGAGACTAGCCTGACCAACATGTGAAACCCATCTTTACTAAAAATACAAAATTAGCTGTACATGGTGGCACATCTCTGATCCCAGCTACTCAGGAGGCCAAGGCAGGAGATTCATTTTAATCCAGGAGGCAGAGGTTGCCATGAGCCAAAATCATGCCATTGCACTCCAGCCTGGGCAACAAGAGTGAAACTCAATCTCAAAAAAAAAAAAAAAAAAAAAAAAAAGAAATGGACAAATGATTAAGCTAAACTTTAATAAAAAGGATATACAAATGAAAAGAAGCATTTGAAAAGTTGCACAAAATTGATAATTTATAGAAAAGTGCAAAACAAAATCACAATACAAAAGAAAACTACCTTATATCAATTAGGATGACCACTATAAATTTTTTAAAACACCAACTATGTTCATGATGTAAAGAAATTGAAACCTATGTAAGTTGTTGATGAGAAAAAAAGGTGCACCCATCATAAAAAAATCATGTTCTTCAAATAAATAAAAATGAAATTATCACATAATCCAGCAATACCATGTATAAATCTATATCTAAAATATGCAGCACAGTAAAATGAAGACATAAGAGGTACCCCGCTTGCATATGCCCACATAGCAAGTATCATAACCCAGCCTCTAAATAAATAAATACATACAGATATAAAAATTTAAAAATTGTAAAAAAAAAAACTTTAAGTTATATCTCAAGGCTATGGTAATAAAAACAGAATGGCATGTGCAGAAAAATGGACAACCACCAATGAAACAGAAATTACTGTTCTCACACATTTTAGACATGATGCAAAAAAATAATTTTAAAAGTGGTTTAACAGAGTTTCTCAAAAATATGCAGATATTAGTGTGTCCCCAAAAGTAATGGCAAAGCAGTCAGTTTGTGCAGTCCCTGATAAGCCATAAAGAAAACTTTGGCTCATACTGTAAACTTGAAGAAAGATTACTGAAGCGAAAGTAGAATCCTTAGAGAATTTAACAGCATGGGGCAGAAGGTGTGAGGCGGGAAATTAAAGAAAAATAAAATAAAAAAGAAAGAGAAATAAGCTTTCCTATATTAGGCTGACTTGTCCCAGAGGCAGCAATAGGCATAGCCCAGACCCAGGAAAAGTCTTGATAATATTATCTAATGTGCTCTGGAGACTCGCCCAGTACTCCATCAACATTGGGAGAAGAAAATCAAATTTTCCTTTCTTTTATAGTATAAGTTTATAGATTCTTTTTTTTTTGTTTGTTTTGGTTTTTTTTTTGTTTTTTTTTGAGACGGAGTCTCGCTCTGTCGCCCAGGCTGGAGTGCAGTGGCCCTATCTCGGCTCACTGCAAGCTCCGCCTCCCGGGTTCACGCCATTCTCCTGCCTCAGCCTCCCGAGTAGCTGGGACTACAGGCGCCCGCCACCTCGCCCGGCTAGTTTT